GAATCGCCAATATTAGCCGAACGCAGGTATCTCCCAAGCGGCTAATAATCCCATCCAGCAGTCTCTAGTCGTCGGTAATAAATCCCCCCAATAACGAGACCAAGCTCCGCATTGAGGGTAAAACAAGAACTGGCTTTACTGTGGGCTACCTGCCCGTATTTATGCAGGTCTCCCACTTGGTGGACACTCCCCTAGGGGACCAAATGGGAGACTGTGACAATAGACAGACATATGGCAGTTCAGGACCCACAGACACAAAATATTCCCAGCATGCAGTAGTAATTCCTCCCCTCTGCCCTGGAGATAATTGAGAAGTAATTCAATTATCTCCAGGACAGAGGCAAATCGCCATTTTAAATTCAAGACATAAAACACATAAAAATACATAACTTTACATTTGTCGAATGCTACCTGGATCTGGGTGCATATTATTGGCGAATAGCGCTCAGATCCCATACGCATAGTTCAATCGCCATGGAGTCAAAGTCTATTACAGTTCTTCGGTATTCGATTGACTCCATCGCAAGGCTATCTGGGGTAAGTCCATTCGTGCATTTAAACCTCCCGAACGGCCGGTGTTCGCACACTTTTGTCGATTGAGAAGGGAGGTCGGCGGCTTCAGCGGTGTTCGGCTGAAAAAGTGTCCGTTTTCAGTTCCATGAAATCAATGCCGAACACCGCTGGTCTTTCGCATGGTTTAAAATGGCAGCCGCCTCGTGGTCGACATACGAACGACGACCACCCTGTATTCAGTTTTAATTGAGAAGTGTCTGTGGTTAACCGCCATGTTCTAATTGGGATCAGTAGGTTAACCAGCAGCACACTTCTCTTCTGGGTGGCCGTCCGTTCGGCAGGTTTGTTTGAAAAGTCAATTCACGGAACAGGGGCATACGAACGGGTAATTTCGTGAAAAAGGCAAAACAGACAATCTTAGTCTATACAGATGGATCTCTCACAATTGGCACGTCTGATATCAGGAGAATCGGATTTATTGGCACGTTTGATATCAGGAGAAGGAGTGTGAGAGGGTGGTCATGGCTGTGACACAGTAGTATTATGGATGAGGTGTCTACCTGAATAGGGCATTGTGACGGACCGCTGGCACTCCGACTGAGTACCTCCGCCAATCGATGCTCCTAGTGCTCGCTGAGGACTCCAACCAACACCATCAGCACTGCAGACCCAACTTCCAGCGATGCAACTGCGCGGGGGTCTCTGCTGTCTCCACCCACCCTGGACCCAAGGCCAGGATCCAGCTTCCAGAGGGTGAACCTCTCTTTCCCCAGATAGCAGGAACAGGAACAAGCTCTTAGCAGAACTTAGTGATCATACCCTGGGGAGTATAGTGATTATAGCAATCCCCAGAGTGTATTTCTCCAATCCCCCAAACATGAGTCAAGGCTTAATGCTGGAACAAGGCTGATTTACTGGCACACAGAACTCACAATTTATGCAACACAAAACTTCTCCTCTGGGCCAGGCTAGATAATTGAGTTTCTACAATACACAAAGCTCAATTATCTGCTGGCCAGAAATAATGCAGTTTTTACAGCATATTCATAACTTCTAAAATATACATCACATTCACATAAAAATTATATATTCACAATCAATCCATTCAGGGAAACAACATATCAAAAAATGGCATGAATCAGACCAGGGGTTAAGAAGTTAGTAAAGTATCTTTTGGGGCCTGGCTGGCAGCATGGGTATCTGGCCCAAACTGGTTTTACAGAGCCCTCTAGCCTGGAGACAATGGGGAAAGTAATCCAATTATCCAGGGATAGAAGCAGACTCCATTGAGCACATGTTCCCAGTAAAACACACAAGGATACAAAAATACATAACTCCTATCATACTGAATTGAACGGGCCAAATCTCCCAGGGTCCATAGTCACAGGGCAAGAGGCGGGCAAGCAGTCCTCTCCAGGCACAAGTGGCGAAAGGCACTTCGTCACAGGCATGTCTTATATTAAGCCAGGATGGTAGGTAGACGATCAGGGCTGCCCTTACACTGAACGCTGCTCTGTGTTTAAATGCTCAGTGGGTATGTTACCGTTTATTATACAGGGGGTGTTACTGTTTATTATACAGGGGGTGTTACAGTTTGTAACGGCCACCCTGGGTATCAGAGGGATGTATGCCGTTGGAGACATCCTTTTCCCTTGCGAGAGGCTGTGCTGCAGTATTCTCCAGATGTCCCATCAGCCGAACCAGTAGAGAAGGAATAGCAGAGCTCTTACAAGAGCTAGGGATTAGCTGGAAGCAGGTTCCCTACAAACACGAGATGAGGCTACATATTGAGGGTTAAGCAGATCTGACAGTTTAATGTGCCAGGCTGGCCTTTTATGCAACTTTTCCCACAAGGTTACCACCCATGTGGACCTTGTGGGGCACCGAAAAATACATTCAACAGCCAATAGTGTACAGTCACAAAGTTAAACACTTCCATTTATTACAGGAAATTCCTCCCCTCTGCTTGGGAGATAATTGAGTTAATTACTGTATCAACTCAATTATCTCCAAATGAAAAAATTAAACTTTTTACAAATTTTCTGAAATATTATTGTAACGGATCACCTGGCACCCCGACTGGGTACCTCCGTTGAAAGATGCTCCTAGCGCTTCCTGAGGACTAGCAGACACCACAACCACCGACCCGGAGAAGCATACGAATGCTCTCAAGCATATGAATGCTGTAAGCAGCTGAACAGGAAAAGCATACAATCAGCTTACACTCCTGGCAATCAGCATACAATCCAATTCCCCCAATAACGAGACGACACTTCGTTTTGAGGTCAAGTAGAACTGACTGTACTGGCACATACAGCCTCTTTTATTCACAATCCACAAACATAGTACTGCCCACAGGGTTTTGAAATACAACCAATCAATCCATACAATACACACAGACACTCACACACAAAATCCTCCCCTCTGCCTGTGATATGATTACTGAACACAATGGTTAATATAATTATCACAGGCAGAGAAATACAGCATCATAAAACACATCACAGGGACCCCAAAACATGCAATAACCCCATAAAAGTATATCCTTGGAACCGGGGGATCTGGGTGAACCCAATATCCAAAATTCACCCAGATCCGTTCAGTACTTTGGAAGATACAGTTTAATGCAGATTCCACAGAACATATGCAGGCTATATGAAAAACAATTACTGTATAATGTGTCCCCTGTTGTATAGTCCAAAACCACTGCACGATGTCACTGTGCACCAAATACCGGTGAGATGGCACCGTGTTGAAAAGTCCAAACAGTGTCTGTGAGTTAAAATGGCCGCCATCCATTGTTCTCACCATGTGCTTCATCCATTGTTCTCACCATGTGCCTCTGATACAGGAAATGGTGGCCACCCAGTAACTCCACAGTATGTCCCCAGATGGTTCTTAAAGGGCCAGCAGCAGCACAACACAAATCCATTAAGCCCAAATCATGTCTTTAAAGGGCAATACATCCCAGGGGCCATAGTCACATGGCAGGAGGCTGGCAATCAGTCTTCTCCAATGCCCAGTGGCGAGGTCGGTTTCGCCACAATTATAAACATACATCACAATCCCATAAAACTTATATATTCTGATAAAGCATAATTAGGGGACCAACTGTGACGCTATGGATAGGTATCACCGTCTTGCATTCCCTTTTCCCATAAAATAATAACGCCAATAAACCACTGGCTCCTATATCGCTGGTGTCGCATAATAACCCACACATGAGCCAAAGCTTAATGCAGGGACAAGACTGGTTTAACGAGAACACAGGCATTCAATTTATACAGTGCATGACTCCTCCTCTGAGCCAGCAAGAAAATTGAGTTTTGAGAACATACTAAACTCAATTATCTTCTGGTCAGAAAAAGTAAAATTTTCCCCAATTTTTAGAAATACCCCAAAAACATATAAAAACCCCACAAAAGTCACATCTCTGGGTAGCTTGTCTATGTGGGAGCAACATATCAAAAATTCAGCATTTCACGAGGTGTGAAAACCACAAACTGCAATGAAAGCTTCGGCCTGTGCCGACCCTGGGTGACGGCATGTTTGTTATACTAATGCCGTCCAGGGGGATCCTTCGCGGATTGCTTCCCACCTCGTTCGGCTCCTGAACGAGGACCTGCCTAGTGCCCCTTGGAGTGTTCACACCAATCAATTAGAACGTTGGCAACTTGTAACATAAGTGTGAAACCACAAGGGAAGTAATTAATGAGCGCTTCCCTGGGTGGCCGCCGTTCGTACAGATGAACGCCGGCCAGGGGGAACATTCGTGTCCCGAAAGGAGACGATTCCCTTGCCTGGTTTCACCCAGGGACCCCGCAAACGGAGGTGGCTGCCGTTCTGGGGGACCCTTGGATTCCTGGGGACTCTCTTTGGGGACAATGGTGGTTTGGCAGGCTTTCCCGTGCTGGGACTCCCAGGTACAGAGGTTCCTGGAAAGAAGACCCCCCCTGCCACAGGAAGTGGGAAAACATGTATTTGGGTGGCAGGAACTGGGGACAAAGGAACTGGGAGGGGGAGGACCCTGAGAGGGGACACTGAGTGGCGGGAACAAGGGACTGGAGTTCCGGTCCCGTTATACGACCCCCGGGAGGGGGAGGACCCTGGGAGGGTACATTGTCTGTATGAGTGATCCACCCCTTGCATGGGGAAAGTATAAAGTCAAATGTGGCCAATAAAGTTGGTGTGGTACCCCTAAAACTGTGTGTCGTTTTGTTACTGGGGAAAATGGGTCTCTAACTTCATTAATAGCGGGGGTAACCAGCCGAGTTACCTGGGGCCCGCTACAGGGTGTTACAATGTTACAAGGTGTTTTCCGGGGGGTGAGGGGGATGGCGTTACCAGGTGTTTTCCGGGGGTGGGGAGAGGTGTTACGAGGTGTTTTCCAAGGGAGGGGAGGGGGGGAGTTACCAGGTGTTTCTGGGGGGGGATGTGTTACGAGGTGACGCATGAGACGCAGCATATTAACCCCTAACCGTGTGTCTATCTGCAGGTATGGTGACATGGTTCCGGACACAATTGCTGGGAAGATATTTGGTTCCATTTGCTCACTTAGTGGAGTGTTGGTTATTGCACTTCCCGTACCAGTCATTGTGTCAAATTTCAGCCGCATCTATCATCAGAACCAGAGAGCAGATAAACGACGAGCACAGCAAGTATGAACAACATAACCATGCCTCTCCTTCGTTACCTCCTTACACTGCAGGCCTCTCCCTGGTATCTCCTTACACAGCATGCCTCTCCTCCGTTACCTCCTCACACGCAAGTCTCTCCTTCGTTACCTCCTTACACTGCATGCCTCTCCTCCGTTACCTCCTTACATTGCATGCCTCTCCTCCGTTACCTCCTTACACTGCAAGTCTCTCCTCCGTTATCTCCTTACACTGCATGCCTCTCCTCCGTTACCTCCTTACACTACATGCCTCTCCTCCGTTACCTCCTTACACTGCAAGTCTCTCCTTCATTACCTCCTTACACTGCAGGCCTCTCCCCGGTATCTCCTTACACAGCATGCCTCTCCTCCGTTACCTCCTCACACGCAAGTCTCTCCTTCGTTACCTCCTTACACTGCATGCCTCTCCTCCGTTACCTCCTTACATTGCATGCCTCTCCTCCGTTACCTCCTTACACTGCAAGTCTCTCCTCCGTTATCTCCTTACACTGCATGCCTCTCCTCCGTTACCTCCTTACACTACATGCCTCTCCTCCGTTACCTCCTTACACTGCAAGTCTCTCCTTTGTTATCTCCTTACACAGCATGCCTCTCCTCCGTTACCTCCTTACACTGCAAGTCTCTCCTTCGTTATCTCCTTACACAGCATGCCTCTCCTCCGTTACCTCCTTACACTGCAAGTCT